GGAGGATGGCCCAAGTCCTTGGGCCCCTGCACCTGCATGGGAGACCAGGAGGAAGCTCCTGGCTCCTGGCTCCTGGCTTCAGCTCCAGCCATTGCGGCGAATTGGGGAGTGAACCATTGGATGGAAGACCTCTCTCTCTCTCTGCCTCTCTTCTCTCTGTGTAACTCTGACTTTCAAATAAATAAATAAATCTTTTTTAAAAAAGAGTAAAGGGGCCGGTGCCATGGCTCACTTGGTTAATCCTCCGCCTGCAGCACCAGCATCCCATGTGGGTGCTAGGATCTAGTCCCAGTTGCTCCTCTTCCAGTCCAGCTCTCTGCTGTGGCCCGGGAAGGCAGTAGAGGATGGCCCAAGTCTTTGGGCCCCTGCATCCGTGTGGAATACCAGGAGGAAGCACTTGGCTCCTGGCTTCAGATCAGCATAGTTCTGGCCGTAGCAGCCATTTTGGGGGTGAACCAACAGAAGAAAGACCTTTCTCTCTCTCTCCCTCCCACTGTCTATAACTCTACCTGTCAAATAAATTTTAAAAAAAGAGTAAAGACTTGAGACAGAGAGACAGATTACCAGAGTTTGACTATCACATCTGTTGTTTCCTACATATATGATTCTGGCAACTACATTAATTTCTTTGTGACTCAGTTTCTCTAGCTGTGAGTCATCAGGTGATCATGAGACCTGAGCTGCCCATGATGAATTGGGTTTTCATAAAGTCATAGTACTGGGCACATAGAGTGGCAATCTGCCACTGAGGGGATATGGCCAATAAGAAACCAGGTACTTGCAGGTCAGGATGGCTTATGTGAGTTGTGTGAACCAGCAGTTCTGCAGTATTACTTATTTTCTACTATACACACATATTTACCTAGTTTGTACTTTCTAACTAATTGATTGAGTTGAGAAAGGAGAAATTGGTGTTTATTATGGATATTCTGGCAAAAACAAGAAGTAGGCTATGAATAGCAATAAAGAAGACACTTTTTTTGATGGTGACTACATTTGATCATCCATTTAGTCTAGAAAGGCCTACATTAATTTGTAGCTAGTTGCTACACTTTGCTTGATATTAAATACCTTCTTCTTCTTCTTTTTTTTTTTTGACAGGCAGAGTGGACAGTGAGAGAGAGAGAGAGAGAAAGGTCTTCCTTTGCTGTTGGTTCACCCTCCAATGGCCGCCGCGGCCGGCGCGCTGCGGCCGGCGTACCACGCTAATCCGATGGCAGGAGCCAGGTACTTATCCTGGTCTCCCATGGCGTGCAGGGCCCAAGGACTTGGGCCATCCTCCACTGCACTCCCTGGCCACAGCAGAGAGCTGGCCTGGAAGAGGGGCAACCGGGACAGAATCCGGCGCCCCGACCGGGACTAGAACCTGGTGTGCCGGCGCCGCAAGGCGGAGGATCAGCCTAGTAAGCCGCGGTGCCAGCCTAAATACCTTCTATGATGGGTGGATTTATCCTCACTGGGTTAAAAATATACGCATTTTGGATGTGGATATCCCTGCCAATAATACTTTTGCCACCATTAGTTGTGGACTTACAGAATGCTTTATTCTCCATCAAGATATTTCACACAGCACTATTTCCAAGCATAGAACTCATTTCACTGCAAAGAAAGGCTAGCAATGTGTTCATACTGACAGAAATCACTTATTTACTATGCATCTCATTGCCAGAAGCAACTTGCTTGAAGGAATGGGGGTGTGCCCAATGAAATTTCAGATAAGCTGTGAGTTAGGAGCATGAGAAGCAGTGTATCTTCTGAATCAACAAGTGATACCTGATTCTGCTTTTCCAATAATCAGAACACAGGTTTCCAGAATCAAGATGTAGAGGCTGAAATAAAGTCTCCATTGTATGCACCGTTGATTTTTACTCATTAGGAATCCTTAACTGCCAAGATAAATTGCTTCTACTGGGAAACATTATGATGCTTCAGGTGATTTGAAAGCTGACCATCTTGGCTTCTGATGCCACAGAAACAGTAAGCATGGAGGTTGTTCTCATTGCTGAGAAAACGGATCCTGAATGTAAAGGGGTCGCAGCTTCAGAAAGAGGATCGCTATATCTGGAACACAGGAGATTCCCTGAAGTGCTGCGTAACCCTCAGTCCAAAACTAGAAGTAAATATAAGACTCTGAAATCTTGAAAAGCAAAGCCACTGAAGATTTAACCTGTAAGTAATAAAGACTTACATCACACCACATTTCCAACTGAGAGAATATAAAATGTAGATTTGATAGAAGTAAGTTATAAATGTCACTTGTAACCTCATTACCAGTTATAAAAACAATCACTGGGCCACTGTGTGTGTCTTCATCCTTTCTTCTCCATCTCTTTATTATTTTACATAAGAATTATTGTGGTGGTAACTGACAGATGTAATTGATCGGATCTGAGTATTTAACATTGTGCAGAAAGGAATATCTAGGCTACACTATGAGATGCAGATATTTGTTTAGACTGTTTCCTTATTTAGAGAAAGAGCAGGAATATTTGGTTGGAGGAGAAAAGTTGTCTCTATTATTAAACAGAGTTTGAATACAAGTAGAAGGATGTGTACAGATGTTGCATGGCCAAAGAAGGGTGGCTGCACTACTGTCTCTCAGCTTCAGGATGGTTTAGAATGCCAACATTTGCAGCCAAGTCCCCAGTAAAACTCTGCCAACAGGGAGTGCTAGAAAGAGAATGCAAGTGTGGAGGAGGAAGAGAAAAAATGTTTTTATTTCTTGTTCCTCTCAATGGTTCTTCATCCTGGCAGAGGCATTTGGTTTCAGAGCTACAGTTGGTTCTGCTTTGTGGTTCCCCTCCCCAGCTTTCCAGAACTGGTTTCCTGGTGCTTGCGCAGAGACACCAGCACCAGCTGAAAGTGTCCTTTCCCCTAGGTGTGAATTTTATCTTCTTGGGCATCCATCTTGGAGCTCTGGGATACTAGGAACAATAGGGCATCCCCCTGCTGAGATATCTTGGTCCCAGTACCAAGGGGTCTCTCCCCCAAGTTTCTAAGGTAGAATAACCCCAGCCTCTTCCCTGTGATCTCCTAGGACTACAGATTTTGGCTTTCCTGCAATTTCTTTATCTGTCAACTCAAGTTTCCCTTTGGCCTTTTCTCACCCTCAACACCTGGTTAACAATGATTCATTCTTAAAAAGATTTATTGGGCCGGTGCTGTGGCTCACTAGGCTAATCCTCCGCCTAGCTGCGCCGGCACACCAGGTTCTAGTCCCGGTCGGGGCGCTGGATTCTGTCCCGGTTGCCCCTCTTCCAGGCCAGCTCTCTGCTGTGGCCAGGGAGTGCAGTGGAGGATGGCCCAAGTCCTTGGGCCCTGCACGCCATGGGAGACCAGGACAAGTACCTGGCTCCTGCCATTGGATCAGTGTGGTGCGCCGGCCGCAGCACGCCAGCCGCGGTGGCCATTGGAGGGTGAACCAACAGCAAAGGAAGACCTTTCTCTCTGTCTCTCTCTCTCACTGTCCACTCTGCCTGTCAAAAAAAAAAAGATTTATTTATTATGTTTGAAAGTCAGATATATATATGTATATACATATATATGTGTATATAGAGAGAAAAAGAAAGAGAGAGAGAGAAGAGAGAGAAGAGAGAAGAGAGAGATCTTCCATCTGTTGGTTCACTCTCCAGATGTCTGCAATGGCCAAGGCTGGACCAGGCTGAAGTCAGGAGCCAGGAGCTTCCTCAGGGTTTCCCACATGGGTGGCAGGGGCACAAACATTTGGGCCATCTTCTCTGGCTTTCCCAGGCGATTATCAGGGAGGTGGATTGTAAATGGAGCAGCCAGAACATGAATTGGGCCCCATATGGGATGCCAGCATCACAGGCAGTAAGCTTACCTACCACACCATGACGCTGGCCCCAAGTGAAGATACCGACAGTAGGACTCTTTTGGTGTGAAGAGTGAATGAATCTGAAGATATGAATCATTTGTAGCAATGCCTCCCACATCATGATTATCAGGTAGGTGTTACCCATCATCACTAATAAAGTCTGTCCCTCCCATGAGATTAGAGATCATAATTGTTACTTCCTGGAACATAGTATGTTTGGAGTAGATGTATGTTTAAGGAATTGTGGAAGGGTTTGGAAAGGAAAGAAAGGAAAGTCCAGAAGAAATGTGGCTTTCTTTATGTTTTTATAATAGCAATTGATCATGCTTTCTAGGCTTATTCTGACAGTTCATTAGGAATCAGCCTCAACCCTTGTGGGCACAGTCATTCCTTACCCCAGGGTACCAGAATTATACACAGTGGAAAACACAAGAGTGTGTGATGTGGAGGTGGGTGTGAGAGGCATTGGGTCCTGGGGTATGTACCTCCCCACAGACACTTCTAGTGAGATGTCTTGTGGCTGGGTCTCTGCTTGCTCAGCTCCCACAGCTCTTGGCTACCTTCCTGCCATGCTTCAGGTATGGGAATCTTTGTGTTGCTGCCCATGCTCCCTTGTCTTTGGAAGCCTTCTGCAGCTGTTCCTTAACTAGGAGTTGACACCTCCCTGTGAGTTCTCCAGCAAAGTTAGGGGCAGAACAACACAGATGCTTCCTCCTCATCTTCTTCTCCAACTCCCAATTCCTAATAGATTCTCATTCTAGAAGACGGAAATCTTTCTCTCTTCATGGGCCTGGTGCAAATATTTTTATACGTCATAACCTTCTCTCATGGTGGACATAGCATTCGTGAACAAAATCCAAGATGATCTGAGCCATCTCACTTTGCCACCCCCTCCCCTGTGAGGCCAGCGCTATGTGCTTTAATTGGAGTGGGATAAGAGGAACATTTTAAAGAGAAAATAATTTTAAAAATTAAGTATCCTACTACAAAAGGATGGAGAAAAACATGGAAAAGTGGCAGGCATTCTCTTCCAAGACTGAACTATCCATTTCCTCCTTTTCCCAATGACATAGTTAAGTAGGACTAGCGCAGGTTTTGTAACAAGCTGCAAGACACAATGATCTTGCTCTTGAGATGTTTTCTAAGGTGCAAGATAAAGACCCTAGAAAAGGAGAGGACTTTTTATTTCATCTGCCTGAGGCAGAGCCATGTCTTCGTAATCGTTTTCTGAAGTGTGGTTTTTTTCTTCTTAATTAAGAGAAGTCCTTGTGACGAGACTGAGGCCTCAGTGTCACCCAGTGACTGGTTCCACAGAAGGACCAGCAACTTCTATAGGTTTTCATTGCACAAGTCGTAGCTCCTGCAACACCTGAAGCTCACCGAATAGACACTCCATTTTATGTTTTTCACATCAGCACAGTTCTTTAGGCAGCCCATGAAGGTTAACCAGAGAGCTCCATCCTCTGCAGAAAGAGGAGAAATGGATCAACAAACCTGGCCCTGAGGCTTCTGCAAGGGAACTTCTCTCCAGCCCACAGTCCTATAAAGCCAAGCTTGTACCATTCAAGTCCAATTCTTAGTCAGATGTGAAGAATTAGAACATGTTCCCAATTGGGGGGTTCTCAAAAGTAAAACAAAGACAGAGCAGTTTAAACAATTTATTGGATGTTGGGAGATAATGACAGCAGCAAGTCAGGGAACACCACAGCTGGGGTTGTTTTTAATTGAGACTCTTTACAATGGTTTAATTGAAGCTTAGGCCAAGGGACAAAGCACAAAGATGAGAAAACAGCAATCATGAGGTCTAGTCTTACCCATCAAATTCACTTAGCCAGTTGTCTATTGCTGCTGCTGAACTTTGTATCTCCGTAGTTCAGAACCACCCGTGAGGAAGGCCAAGCAGGCACAAGGACCGAGACCTGCTCGTCTCACCCCAGCAAACGGCTGTTCCCTGTTGGGCATACACCATGCCTCTCCTCTCACCCCAACTCAGTCTCCTCTATTTTCTTCAGGCTTCCCAACACATTGTGCTCTTAGCTACATACCCTGCTTCCACCTCAGTAACCATCTCCATATGTTTTTCATTACAGTATGTGTGGAACTCGGGATATCAGTCATCCCAGGCACGGCACTGCCTGTGGTAAAGCAAGGTCCCCCCTTTTCATCGCGGTCAGTACGCCCCATCCCCTTCCTCCTTTTCCCAACACACAACTTACTATCAAACATCCTGGCAACTGTGCAGGCCTCCTCTGTGGTTGCAGTACACAAGCCCCTTCCTCTAGAGCACTTTTCTCCTGGGAACTGGAGGTGACACATCCTACATTGAATAAATCTCCGAACTCAGCCAGAGAATGGAAATACAAGTGAGATATGATGACACTTCCAGGGAAGGAGTACCTCCCCTTCCAGGTTGAAACGCAGGTTGGAGGGGTTTGCCAGAGCTCCATGCAGCATGAAAGTCTGCCTCTGTTAAGATAGGTTAAGCCAAAGGAGTGACTGGAATTTATGATCTAGGAGAAGAAAGAAAAGTGGAGGCTAAAAGAAAAGAGGAATATTATTAAGACTGAGATGCTCAGACTTGATCTTCTTCACACTCACCAGAATATTGATCTTCATCAAAAATTACTTCATTTTCTGTGATGGCAAAAAGAAATAAAATAAAATAAAGCTGCAATTTTGCTTGAGATTTACTCCTGCACTGGGCCCTTGTGACCTACCCCCTCAGGGCCCCCTGCACCTACCCTTCCTGTCACCTGCTTAGGGTGTCCCTGCTCTCTTGAGCTCTTCACCTCCTTAGGGGTTCCCATACTCCCCGATCATCCCTACAGGGTGAAGCACAGGCCAGAAGGAGGAAGACAAGTGTGTCTTTCCCTCGATTTGGGCCTCATTCTTTTTATAAATGACCCTACATGACATTCTTATTCACATGTGCCGGGAATCTGACAACAAGGATCAGCATCTGAAATTCATGGAGTTGCCACACTTTGGATTTGGCCAGCTGCTGCCTGTAAAGCCATAGTTCTTTCTCTCTGCCGCTTTTCTTGCTGTTCATGACACTCACCTCTACCCTTGTCAGCATCTGCTAACGCTGTTTTAGCACTAAAATCAGCTCCCAAGCCAGCCCCATCCTGCTGAAGGAGGTTATTGAATGTTGACATTCAAGGCTCAATTCTGCATTCTTTTCTGCCCCCAACCCTCACCCAGGTCCATCATCCCTCCTCTCATCTTCCCCCTCTTATACTTCTCATCTGTTTCTACTCACCTTGGTCAACTCTGTCTGAAAACGACCCAGATAGCACTGTTGAATAAAAAAGATATACTCTGAAGACCTCATTTTCCAAACCCCACCTCACAGCTCTTGATTCCTCTAATCCACCCAATTCTTCCTGTAAATGGAGGGATAAGGGCTTAGGTGGTGTGCTGTGGATGGGAGGCACGACAAAGAGTGACTGCTCACCATCCTTCTGTAACCATGTGGTTTGAGGCTCTGTCACAAGCTCTGACCCATTCTTGGATCTGGGCACGTCCTTCCATCTGTCAGCCCTAGGGACTCACCCCTAAAGCAGCAGAGCAGGATGAGGAGTTCCGGGAGAGGGCACTTGTCCATTTTTAAGGGAGAGAAGACCAAGTCAGGGCAGGACAGCATCAATAGATACTTATATACCTGCAAGCCTGGCTCCTCAGGAAGATTGGGGGTGGGGACACTGTGGCAGTCTGTGAAAGGTGCACTCTGCTCCTGGGGAAATCAGTGATTCTGTTATTTCTCCTTTTGGCCACTTGTGGCAAAAAAGACCGGCCAGGAAGGTCCTAGACCCAGTGGATTCCAGTCCTACCTCCCTGGATATCTGATGCCAAGTTCTATGGCCACTTCACTACACCACACTGTGGAAGGACAACAGGATGAGCTAGGGCTGGATAGTAGAGATCAGAGTCATGTACACCAAAGTTCCCATTAAGGCTGAGTGAATATATGAATATAAATAACTGGGATGCAGAAGGCTGAGCACAGAACCTTGAAAGAACATTTATTACTAGAAAGTAGAAAAGAGAGGAGACATAATGGGTAGGCTCAGAGACCTTGACAGAGGATTCTCACGAGGGGTGTAAGGTTTCCCACTGTCTATCATCTTGGAAAGAAGAGACCCTGGGATAGAAGATGAAAGACAAGAAAAGCAGTGCTTCCTTTTTTTTGAAATTTCCTGGTGGCTGATGCTTATACTTTAGTTAGGAGACGGAAGTTTAAGATGACCTCTCCTGAGGGAGGTTAGCATATCCTCACTTGAGGTCAGGTCAGGGATAGGAGGCAGGAGGTGGCTGCATGGGCAGGGGATTGAGCCTGTGGATTTTAAGAAAAGCTGGATCATTCTAAGCTTTCTGTTCATTTCCTTCAGTTATTGCTATGCCCTAACTAAAGTGTTACCAAATTTACAACCCAGCTGTTGTCCTTGCAGAGAATTGAGGAAAGGGTCTGTGTCATGCTGAGGGCAAAGCAGATCTGGGGAGAGAAACCAGAAGGAAACAGGTTGCAACCAGGCACAGTGCAGTGTAAAGAAAGTGAGGGCGTGGTCTCAGCTAGGACCTGGCTGAAGTGATGGGACAGCAGGAGTGATGAATTGGCAAGATTCTTGTGTCAGTGATATTTTGGGGATTATTATTGCATGTTACAGCAAACTGTATTTCCACGTATGGAGGAAGAGAGGTATGCAATAGTTAACTGCTTGCCTGGGAGTACCTAATATCCTGGTGAAGCTTTGAATATTCACATTATATATGTACGTGTGGAGGCATTTGCACATGTATATTCACACTTATGGCAGCACTTATGTTTGTATTCTTATTCACTGCAGGATTTCTCCATTCCCATCCTTTCACTGGCCCAAAATTTAGCGTTTTTTTTTTATCTTGATATTCCTTTATCCTACCTTTTGAGATTCCCCCCTCCTTTCCTTCCAATAATTCCATATTTAATTCTCTGCCTAATGCAAGACTGTGGAGAACTGTCTGCTCACCTAGCTGCCCGTCTACGAGTGTACTGCACCACTTCTCCTACAGCAGAACTTTTCTCCTCCCGACTGCACTGAACCACTTGATTCCCAGCTTGTTCGAGCCCCCTTTTACTGAATTGGTTTTTAAATCTTCCCCAAGTTCCTACTCCTTGTCTCAGTAGTTCTCATACCTGCCTTTCTTACTGGCCTCACTCTGTTCCTTTCCTGAGAGCCTCCAATTCTTTTTTCTCATCTCTTAAAGGCACTCCAAAAATATTTCTTTGTATGTCATAAGTTCCAGACTCATGACTTAGAAATATTCAGGAACTCATTTTTTCCCTGTTTCTCTGAATCTATTTAGGTCTCCAAGGCCCTCCGTTCACGATGCTCACCTTTTCTAAATCAGTTCGGAAGGTGCAATTGGTGCCGAAGAGTGAGCTCTGGATTGTACCTCCACTCTGAGAATGACTAGGCACTTAGTCATGTCTGTCTGTCTCTCTCTCTCTCTGTGTGTGTGTGTGTGTGTGTGTGATTAGAAAATGTTTGGATCATAGGATAGGGCTTTTAGTTTGAATCTTCAGTAATTTCATACAGGTCAATAAGAAGAATTTTTAAGTGGCAATTTTCTGTTCATTGCTATTTATTATTATTGTAAAAAACAACACAGCTCTTACTAAGGTTATAGAAAAATCTGCTGAGAAATTGGCCCAGTCACAGCAGTTTCCATGCCAGCTTCTGCAACTCTGAGCACAATGAGAAGAAACTATCTCGGGAACTGTGGATATATTGAACAATCCTGACTTTCCCAGAAAACCCCAGGGGTGGCAATTCTCCCGGGAGGAAAGCACACACAGTTAAGACTCCCTAGAGACTCTTGTTTTGTGTTCTTTCTCAGATCTGCATATGTTATCTGGACACTTCCTCTGTCCTTCTCCGCAGAGATGAGCTGTTCACCTGTCTGAAGGAAACAGGCTGTTCTCATGACCATTCCTCTGGACCCTAGCAGAGAAGAAACTGTTCTTCCCCTCCTGGGCCATTAATGTTAGTTCTGCAGGTACTAGGAAGACTCCAGTAGCCTAAGGCCATTGGCACATATTGGAATAGCAACTGTCCTTCTCCACCTTGTTTAGCCTCTTCCTCACCAGGGGATCTGCTCATGTTGAGAATCTTTCCTCAAGCCCTGGCATCCCCTCCAGCCTATTACCCTATTCAGACATATCATTATGTGAAAACATCTCAACCACCAAGGAAACAGCATTTAATTATGTCTCTGTGCCATTCTTTGGGAAGAAAGTCAACTTTGGGCCGGCGCCGCGGCTCAATAGGCTAATCCTCTGCCTGCGGTGCCGGCACACCTGGTTCTAGTCCCAGTCGGGGCACCGGATTCTGTCCTGGTTGCCCCTCTTCCAGGCCAGCTCTCTGCTGTGGCCAGGGAGTGCAGTGGAGGATGGCCCAAGTCCTTGGGCCCTGCACCCCATGGGAGACCAGGAGAAGACCAGGAGAAGACCAGGAGAAGCACCTGGCTCCTGGCTTCGGATCGGCACGACGCACTAGCCACAGCGAGCTGGTCACAGCGGCCATTGGAGGGTGAACCAACGGAAATGGAACACCTTTCTTCCTATCTCTCTCTCTCTCACTGTCCACTTTGCCTGTCAAAAAAAAAAAAAGTAAAGTGGAGTTTAACTTCTAAACATGATGATCAAATGGCCCTCTCTGGAAAGAAGGTAGCTGTTTTCCATAGAATAGGGATTGCACGAACCTGGTAATATTTGAAAACTCCTTGTCAGATTCTTTGTTTGAAGTAATTGTAGGACAACCCTGAAATAAAAATTACAAATCCAGATATGGAATGTAGTGGCTTATTCCATGGCAAGGTATAAATGGAAAAAGGCTTCAGAACATACAGTGGACAGTGAAAATATGGGAAGGAGAGAAAGACAGTTGGGTCCCTGGGTCATTGTGGAAAGGCCTATGGATCCTGGGAAGTCTCTCCAGGTAGAGAATTGCTCTCACCTGCTTTCTTCCTGTGTATTTAGCCCCACTCAGTTTGCACCTGATACTTTAACAATGAAGAATCTTTCTCAGTTGGAAGAGGAAGCCCTATTCTTGCTATAAGTTTCATTCAAGAACCTCTCCTCTAATGAAGTTGCTTTTGTGTATGCCCACAGCATATCCACGAGCTATGATATGAATATAGACAGCATTAACTTTGACTCCTACTGCTCCCTCATTCTGCATTCAACCAGTTACAGAGACCAGTCTGTCCTGCCCTCATTGTATCACTAGTCTCATTCTGTCCATTTCCACTCTTACTTTTTATTGTATCCTCCATGTTGCTCACTATTATTCAGTAATTAAATCCATTGAAATGGAGTCTTTTAAGCCCTGGGTTTGGGCAGGGGAGGAAATAGAGATGAAATCTGCTTCTGTTCCCCTGAGTTCAGGAAAGAGGGATGAGAAGTTGGAGCAGCTTAGAAGAAAAAAAGGAAGAAAGCTCTGGAAACTGAGAAAACTAGTCAAGTGTGGGAACTTGGCAAAATGCTCACAGGAAGGAATAAAATGAGGCAACTGAAGAAAGAAGATTTTGTATAACTAAATCCAAAAAGAGGTCCCAAGGAAAATGTGTCCCAGGCTGGCGCCGCAGCTCACTAGGCTAATCCTCCGCCTTGCGGCACTGGCACACCGGGTTCTAGTCCTGGTCGGGGCGCCAGATTCTGTCCCAGTTGCCCCTCTTCCAGGCCAGCTCTCTGCTGTGGCCCGGGAGTGCAGTGGAGGATGGCCCAAGTGCTTGGGCCCTGCACCCCATGGGAGACCAGGAGAAGCAGCTGGCTCCTGCCTTCGGATCAGCGCGGTGCGCCAGCCGCAGTGCGCTGGCCGCGGCAGCCATTGGAGGGTGAACCAACAGTAAAGGAAGACCTTTCTCTCTGTCTCTCTCACTGTCCACTCTGCCTATCAAAAAGAAAGAAAGAAAGAAAGAAAGAAAGAAAGAAAGAAAGAAAGAAATAAAGAAAGAAAGAAAGAAAGAAAGAAAGAAAGAAAGAAAGAAAGAAAATGTGTCCCTTGGTCATTTCCTAAAATGCAAGAGGAAGTCAGAAAAAATCTTTGTTCTTGAGAAGGGGCAAGAATGCAGAAGGTCTTCCTGGGGGTGGGGAGGGGTCATGAAACTCCAGACTGGGTGGGAGGTGGGTTCTGGAGACAGCAGCTTGGTGTCATGCAACCCTGATAGTCCTGGGACTATCCTTCCAGGAACAGCCTGAAATCCAGGCCATAGGGTCATGGATACAGAACATCTTAGGATCATGACCCAAGGTAGTTTTGGATCATTGAAGCTCAAAGGGACAGTAGCTAAGAGGTGAAAATCTCAATCAGGTGAGAAAGGGAACCAAGGCACACTCAAACAATGTAGTGTTAGAACTCCTGGCAGCTTTCAGAGGTAGGTACAGAAGAAGGAAGACAGAACATTTAGAAAATATAAATACACTCAAGAAAAAATCCTCAGCTCTTAGTTTCTTTTTTTTTCTTATAGTTTCAAAGACTTAAATATGTGCCAATAGACACATGAAAAAATGTTCAAGATCACTAGCAATCAGGGAAATGCAAATCAAAACCACAATGAGGTTTCACCTCACCCTGGTTAGAATAGCTCACATTCAGAAATCTACCAACAACAGATGCTGGCGAGGATGTGGGGAAAAAGGGACACTAACCCACTGTTGGTGGGAATGCAAACTGGTCAAGCCACTATGGAAGTCAGTCTGGAGATTCCTCAGAAACCTGAATATAACCCTACCATTCAACCCAGCCATCCCACTCCTCGGAATTTACCCAAAGGAAATTAAATTGGCAAACAAAAAAGCTGACTGCACCTTAGTGTTTTCAGCTCAATTCACAATAGCTAAGACCTGGAATCAACCTAAATGCCCATCAACAGTAGACTGGATAAAGAAATTATGGGACATGTACTCTATAGAATACTATACAGCAGTAAAAAAAAAAAAAAAAAAAAAATGAAATCAGGTCATTTGCAACAAAATGGAGGAATCTGGAAAACATTATGCTGAGTGAAATAAGCCAGTCCCAAAGGGACAAATATCATATGTTCTCCCTGATGGGTGACAACTAACTGAGCACCAAAGGGGAAACCTGTTGAAGTGAAATGGACACTATGAGAAACAGTGACTTGATCAGCCCTTGTCCTGACTGTTGATGTACAGTGTAATACTTTATCCCTTTTAGTACTTTTTTTTTTGTTCTAGTACTATGGATTGAACTCTGTAATTAACACACAATTATTCTTAGGTGTTTAAATTTTAACTGAAAAGCAATCCCTGTTAAATATAAGAGTGGGAATAAGAGAGGGAGGAGATGTACAATTTGGGACATGCTCAATCGGACTTGCCCCAAATGGTGGAGTTAGAAACATGCCAGGGGATTCCAATACAATTCCATCAAAGTGGCATGTACCAATGCCATCTCACTAGTCTAAGTGATAAATTTCAGTTCACAATTGATCACACTGATAGGTCTAAGAGTCAAAGGGATCACACAAACAAGACTAGTGTCTGCTGATACTAATTGATAGAATCAAAAAGGGAGAGAATGAACCAACATGGGAAGTAGGATACACAGCAGACTCATAGAATGGCAGATGTCCTAAACAGCACTCTGGCCTCAGAATCAGCCTTTAAGGCACTCAGATATGGCTGAAGAGTCCATGAGAGTATTTCAGGCATGGAAAGCCAAGACACTCTGGGAAAAAAAAAAAGAAGACCTAAATGAAAGATCTCTGTGAGTGAGATCCCAGTGGAAAGAATGGGCCATCAAAGGAGGAGGTACCTTTCTCTGAAGGGAGGAGAGAACTTCCACTTTGACTATGACCCTGTCGGAATAAGATCGAAGTCGGCGAACTCAAAAGGCTTCCATAGCCTTGGCATCTCATGACTAGAGCCTAGGGAGATTACTGATGCCATAAACAAGAGTGTCAAATTGTTAAGTCAACAACAGGAGTCACTGTGTACTTACTTCTCATGTGGGATCTGTCCTCAATGTGTTGTCCAATGTGAAGTAATGCTATAACTAGTACTGAAACAGTATTTTACACTTTGTGTTTACATGGGTGCAAACTGATGAAATCTTCACTTAATATATACTAAATCAATCTTCTGTATATAAAGATAATTCAAAAATGAATCTTGATGTGAAGGGAATGGGAGAGGGAGCGGGAGATGAGAGGGGTGCAAGTGGGAGGGAAATTATGGGGGGGAGGAAGCCTTTGTAATCCATAAACTGTACTTTGGAAATTTATATTTACTAAATAAAAGTTAAAAAAAAACACAAAAAAATTTAAAAAAAAACTAATGAGTATATTCTTCTTTATTTTTTCCAGAGTTTAGGACTTTTGATTCATCTTGAAGTCACTGAAACAAAACTCCTGATAAAACAGTCTGTTTTCCTTTACAAGCCCCCAATGGGAACAAAAACTACTTGTAGGAAAAAAAAGGTTTTGTACATGG